TTATTCACCACAGTGTGAGTAAATTGATGGGCCAACAAACTCACCTGACCAGTACAATGGTGAGTCTCAATCCTGCTTCTCAGGCAAATGGTCTCCCATTTTTTATTTGGTTTGGTGCACATACCTCGGAATCACGGTGCTCTGTTACGTGCCAACACTGTTTCAACCAGTATTTTACATCATCAGCAGTTGCAGCAGTTACAGCAAAGCAGACAATGATAACACAGAGGCACGGTAGAATAAGAGCAAAGTAGAGATATTCTGGATCTTGTCACCCTGGGTACTTTACTAGGGACACTGTTCTTCATGTTTTAGATTTGTCCCAGATCCAACACCCTTGAAATATTACACATTAGCATAACATTAAGTGCTGGGGAAGACTGTCAATCATCAAATAGCAGCTAGTGCAAGCATAGGAACCGAAAGAGCCAGGATGGTAAATCCAAGCCGTAGTCAGAAAACAGGTCGACAGCATGCAGAATCCAGGTAACAGCCCAGAAACACAGAACAGGCAGTCGAAAACTCAGAAGTCGGGGGGCAGAAACAGATCAGAAACAAGTAGAACTAAACACAGGTAATGCTAGACTTACTCTCGCTTAGGGTCTAGAAAAATCTGGCTCCAAAAGCTAGGGTCCAGAGGCTTAAATAGCAGCAAGAACAGGTGAATACAATAAGGGATAATGAGTGCAGGCAAGAGCAAAGCAGAAGAAAGCAACAAGGAGAAAACCCAGCCTAAAGGTGCCAAGATCATGACAGCTGCTTGAACCAGAGACTCTTAAACAAGTGACAATAACTGACCCAAAAGCAGATTTTGAAGGTTTATTCAGAGAAATGGTGAAGAAGGTTTCACACAATTGACCAGAGAAGATGAAAGGAACTTGTTCTGAAGCAGTGAAGAAGAACCCGTGTCTTCTGATTTTTTCTCTCCGGTGGACGGTCTTGTGCTGGATGGAGGGTGGATAGGCAGGGTAGTGGGTCCTGTAGGGAGGAAGTGGGATTGATCCAAGCAAGCTTGGGGGTTCTGTGGAAGGGAGGATGAGAGCAAGGAAGAGTTAGGAGGACTCAGTTGGAGCTTAGATCGCTGAGTTTGACCTGTATACCACTTAGAGAGCAGAACCAACTGGCAGCTTGCTCCAGGAAACTGCTGCAATATAAAGGACCCTGCTGATTTCCAACAAGGAGTACCAACTGTAACAAATCAGCCCACCACCCTGTAAGGAAAAAACCCACCAAGAAACCAAACAAAACCTCAAACAATAATAACGCACTACAAGCTAAACTTTAACAGTCAAAGGCAATTTTAAACAAATATGTTTTTAACTTTGACTTAAAGGCACTAAGGCTTTCTTTTCACTTTTAGTCTTCTGGGAGTTTGTTTCAGATGAGTGGTGCATAGGAATTAAATCCTGCCTCTCCATGTTTGGGGATTGGTCTGGCAGGTTTGTACACTGACAACAAATTCGTTATGTATTGAGCTGCTGATCCATTCACTGATTTGTAGATTAGCAGAAGGATGTTAAATTCTATTCTCTGAACTATAGGAAGCCAGTGTAAGGACTTCACAACCGGGCTGGTGGACTCTACTTTCTTTGTTCTAGTAAGAACGCAGGCAGCAGAGTTTTGGATCAGCTGCAGCTGTCTTAAGGACATTTTAGGTAAACCTGTGGACACACTGTTGCAGTAATTCTACTAAAGATAAATGCCTGACTGAGTTTTTCACCTGCTTGGACATTAGTCCTTTAATCCTGGAGATGATCTTCAGGTGATAAAAGGCTGATTTAGTAACTACCTTTATGTGCCTTTGGAAGGTCAGGTCTGAGTCCATCATGACACAGAGATTTCAGCCATAGTCACTGGTTTCTAGCTTTCAGTAGCTGAAGCTGTGAGTTAACTCAGGATCTTTTCTCCTTTTGTCAGAGGATTATTACCTCAGTTTTTTTTTTTTTTTGGTGACATGAACCCATTAGAGCAGGTATTCACTATAGGTTTAAGTCATTATTGGTTAAATTACCAGAGTTAATATTTCATTATGTGTTTAATGAAACTCACAAGTTTACCTTTAAAAAAAAAATTATAAAATAGAATAAATAGCCTTTTTCAATCAATGGAACAGCCCTCTATCTTCACCCTCTCTTCATTGCTTTCATTGCTATTATTAGATCACTGCCCCCCTCTCAGTTACCTGTAATATGAGCCGATGCATTAATAGAGCTCCCTGTTCTACTTGTCTCTGACTTTAAAGTTTTGATACTGTTCAAGCACTATGGTTTCATTGTGTGATGTAGGCTTATGACTATCCAGGCAAACATTTGGACCTGAATAAAACACATCCTGATCAGTTGTTGACTCATTTACTGCTCATCTGTCAGCAACAAATGCTAGCAGTCCTGACTAAATAATTAGTATTTTTTTCCCCAGAAATTAGCCTATTCCACTACCCTTTATTTTCTTACTAACTGTTAATGTTAGCCAAAAAAAAAAAACGTTCCTGTTGTTTCAATTACATCCCTCTCATAGTACACCTCACCCCATGGGACTCTTATGCATGTCAATCCTTTCCATAAGAATGCTAATATGCAGCAGACAGTTTTGATATCATCAGTGTCACCTATATGTGTTTTGTCTTTAAGAAATTAAGCCTGCATCATCAGGCCTGAATTAAGTTATCAGCTCAACCTTTCTCCAATTCAACATAATTGGTATCAAAACCATTTGCTTGTTTGTGCTGCAAGAATTATATATTTTTTTCAATATACGTTAATAAACCTCATCCAATTAGGGTAGATAACAGAGATTGATGTGTTTGTGAGCATGTGTCTCTCTTCATGCCTTTTCATAACTGTGAAAAAGCTGATTTAAAAATTTATTTTTATGTTGATCATTAAAAACATAAGAAAGTAGTCATGCAATCTATAGTAATACTAGTCCCTTTATCAACACTAATCTGGTACCGGTATATTTATAACTTGTTTATATGGAAATTTGGAAGATTTTTTAAAGAATTATTGAAAAAATTAAGGCCAATTAAAGACTTCTTTAATTGGCCTTAAATTGTTTTCACTATTTATAGACAGAAAAAAATGGTTTGTCTATGTTAGAATAATTGTATATTAGTGTATCTGTGTAGTGCATAAAGCTGTGTGCTATGTTCATGTGATCATAGCCACCTTTTCTAAAGTATACTTTAATTTGTGGACTTGCTTTTGGGGAGGTTGTGGTTGATTTACGAGCTGCACTAAACCTGCTGAACTATGGTCAACAGCTACAACAACTTAAACTTTGATTGAACCCTGAGATTTAGAGGATATGTTTACTGAGACTGCAAGTCTGAATTCCTTGTCTTGTTTCCCCTCCCTGGTGTAGTCTCAGCTGTTGTAAGCAGGAACCCCTGACTTCAATAAATTGTGAGGAGAACGCGGGGACCGGCAGACTGGGGTGGAGATCTCTAACTGTGCAATTCCTACTTTCCTCACGAGTAAAACAAAATTAATTGTCTCTGTCCCTTCTTTCTTTCCCTGTATGTATGTATGATGTTTTAGGTGCTTAGACCTGACAGTCTAGATCTGACCGGGGCTGCACGGTGGTTTACTTTTGTAGTAAATTTTGTAATTAAATTATTATTTCCTCACATCAAGAAGGTCCAGGGTTTGATCCCTGGACCAGGGTCTTCCTGCATGGAGTTTGCATATTCTCCCTGTGCATGGGAGGGCTCTCTCCTGGCACTCCAGCTTTTATCCCACAGTGCAAAAACATGACTGTTTTGTTAATTGGCATTTCTTAAGTGTCCTTAGGTGTAAGTGCGTATGAATGGGAGTACATCTTTGTATGTTTTTGTTTTGCCCTGCGATAGACTGGTGACCTCTCCAGGATGTAACTCTCCATACACCCATAGATTCCTTGCGTTAGGCACCAGCCCCACCATGATCTTGACGGACAAGCGGGAGAAGATGGATGGATGGATAATTCCAACCATCTCTAAAATAAAAAAGTCAAATGCAAAAAAGTATTGAGACTGTCCCTGTCCCCACTTCAACTTTAATTTTCTCCTCAGAGTGGCATAAGTTGGCTTTCAGAGATTGAATACAATTGAACACATTTGTAAATGAAAAAAGCAGCCTAAATAACTTCCAAGAAAGATTAACGACATAAAAAAAATGTTTGAATAGCAAGAACTATCCACATCCATCCATCATCTTTTAGATAGAAATATATCGGATTAAATTCATGAGAAATAAACGACTGGATATCCCATTTTTTTATTTTTTTTTATCAATTTTTCTTCTGTATCTCTTTCAAATAGTCACAATACCCCACAATATTTAAATTTTAACTTCTCGGCTCAGTGTCAATGTTCTTTTATATACAATCTAAATTGTAGATAGAGTTTGTCACCAGTAGGTGACACTATGTTATGGGGTGTGCTAGTTTTTCTAGCAAAAGTGATTTTTGATAAAATATGATTCATTTTCGAATGAAGGTTGGTCAGACAATCTGTCTGAAAAGGTAACTGATGTTTAGTTGTAGCCAAATCCTGTTGTATATAACTATGTTTTATAAACCAATAACTGCCTTAAATAAATGTTATAGTTTTCTATTTTCAATCTTCACTAAGCGTGGTGATGTATACATTTTTGTTAATATCTCAAGAAAAAAAACAAAAAAACAGCAAACTTTCCCAGATTCCGGGAAATACTTTAAAGTTTTAACAGGTTATAATGTAGCTTGAGAGGTTTTGGAAACAACTGGACTTTTAGCCGACTCGCTAAAAAAACATGCAACTAATATCAGACCTAGCATTTACCAAAGAAACAAGTTAAAAAAGGGAGTTAAAGGGAGAACAAAGGGACTAAAAACACATATTATTCTGGCAAATATTTGGTTGAGAAGGAAACATTCAGGAGATAAGACAGGAAAAGAGCACAGGAAATGTTGAGATTTCCTTTGGATGTGAGGTGTGCGTTCCTGACAGGCGTGTTTGGTTCTTTTTTCCCCACAGTAGATTCAGAGAGGGTCAGAACAAGACAGAAACCATAAAGATCGCTTTAGAAAAGGAGCTTGTATTCTGTAGATTTTAATCTAAGCAGAGCCAAGGGTGGAGAACAATCTGTGGAATATCAGCTTCAGCTTTTGGGATCAAAAACTTCATCTGGTGGAGATCTTTTTATAAGCAGCAAAGGACGTCTTCATTCTACCAGCCCACCCAAGGTCCATTTCTGTGAATGCCTCTTTATTATTACATAGATCACTTTTTTGGTTATGTAAGGTCCTGGATCCTTCCTCTGAACTCAGCCACTTTTCATTCATTCAGATCTGAAACTGTGAACTCTGAGGGAGTTCTCTCAGCTTTACAGTCTTCAGAGCCTTGTTTGAATCTGCTTTAGCCATGTTACGCTGCGTCCTTCAGAGGGCTAACAACTTGAGACGTTCAGACCCTCTGGCCAGTGTCACGTTTAGAGGTAAGACAACAGTTTGAGGCTCTGGTGAAAGTATGTCAAATCATCCAAAAGCTGCTGTTGCAAAGGTGGAGCATGATTCGCAGAATAATATAAAAAATATATATCCAGCTTACTAAATTCAAGGTTTTAGTCCCATTAATTTGGGTTTTTTTGAGATGACCATAAGATTTCTCTAAAAATGTGCCCTTTTCCTGGTTTTGTTAACTTTCTGCTCGAGGATTTAATCAAAACATTTCAGCAAGCATGGAAAATAATTTAAATCAGGCTTAACTTGTTACTTAAGTTCCAGCAACAGTATCCTACAGAGAAATAGACAATGTTATTTATGTTAGGCCCCGATCAATTAAAGCTTTATTTGCCACTGAACAATTTATGCAATTACACTTAAATTGACACGATTTAAGTAATTCAATTAATTTTAATCTGGATAGATAAAATATCTAAAATCCATTTTTTTCAGTTTGGGAAAAGTTTAAGGTAACATAACCATCAATGATAGGCAGAAGAGCTTGTGAAAAAAGTCACAGAAAAAAATAGATATAAACGTAGAAGATGCAATTTGTCAATTTTAAATTGATTTAAAGCTAAGATTAGCTTGAACTTTTACGGAATGCTTTTTAATTGTTAAACTTTTAGCTTGTTTGTGAAAAAAACAACAACAATCTAACTACTTGAACAATAATGCCAACCACTAAATCTCAGCTAAAATGTTAGTTTGGTTAAAATTTTCATATAAACTACAATACATGTTAAAACAACACATCCAACTAGTTTATCTAATAAAATATTGAGCTAAGATAGCAAATTAGTATTGCTAGTAATTGCTGCTAAGATGATTAAGTTTTCCTTTGCAGTATTTCTAAGAGAAATAAGTGTCACTATGACTATAAACAGTCCAAATCCGCTAATTAGCCAACTCATTTGTGCACTATTCACAAATCAAAATTTTATGTCTCCCAGAAACTGTTTTTTTTATTATTAGGACTGAGTAAGGTCTAGTAATTAGATTAATCTAATTTCTTATTATCTAATTCTAGTTACACCTCACTAGTTTTAAACAGCTGATGTCCTAAATGTTTTGGATACAACTGCTCCAACACAATGACTGAGTTACCTTCTGACCATTTTATAAATGTTTGCAAAGTCATTAAAACCACTTATTTCATTCAGGTGATACGATATGTTTGCTCATAACCAAAAAACAAAAAAACAAACAGTAAATGGCACCATGAACACAGTTAAAAAAAAAGGTTTTAAAGATAAACAATCACTATTGTTAATTAAGTTAAGTTAAGTTTTATGTTGCAAAAGGTTTAACGCCAAACTATATTAAGGCTTACTGTTAGTAAAGATAAGAAAAAGAAAACAGTCCAAAGTGAAATACTATTGGCTCTGTCAGTTTTGCCACATCAGAAATGATCTGAGTCTCACTGAGCTCACTCCATATCTTGGCTGGACAGATGCTGGTTCTTGTGCTACTCCAGCCTTTCAACCTGTCTAGGCATGAGTCAGAAAAAGCAGGTTCTGAGTTTTGGTTCAATCTCTTTAATTATTTTTGGTTCAACTTTCTTGATTTGCAACCAAATTAAGGGAAGAAGTGAATCTGCCGTGTAACTGAAAGGGTAACTCAGTGTGACTCAAGTAAAACCTTTTTGTAATAAAATTTGATTGGGTGTTCATGCTAACCTGGTTCAGGCAGTCAGGTATTTTTACTTGTTAGAATTATCAGGCATACATAGACCTGACCCACTCAGAAGAAGACTTTAAAAAAGATTTGTCTTCTATTAAGAAATGTCAAATTTTCACACAGTGGTTTAAACTGAAGAGAGAAAGTTAAGCAAATAAAGATCTCTGGAGAAAAAAGGGGTTCTATTTGGCTAGGAGCTGCATGTTTTTAAACTTTTTCTTGGCAGCCTGTAAAAAAAAAAAGTTTTGCATGTATGGCGCGACATTGGCTTCACATGCAGGAGTTTTCCCTGCAACCAGAGGGTTTTTGGTTCAAGCCTTGGCTCCGGATTTCATTGTCACTGTGTTCTTGGCCAAGACATTTCACCTGAATTGCCTACTGATGGTGGTCAGAGGGACTTGTGTGGCTAGTGTGCAGCAGCCTCGCTTCTGTCAGTGAGCCCCAGGTCAGCTGTGGCTCCAATGTAGCTTACCACCATCAGTGTGTGAATGAATGGGTGAATGACTGAATGTAGTGTAAAGTGCTTTGGTAAAGTCTCCTGACCGGAAAAAGGACTATATAAACACAGGCCACTTATTTATTACATAAATTCTATATACGGTATGTTAGTGAACAATTGATTATTTTATCAGATATATTATCCTGACTGCTAAGCTAATCGAATATAAACTAACAAAGATCCACACTCACCAGCATTAGTACATGTTTTTTATAAGGTATTTCACAATATAACTTCTTCATTTGCTATACAATTCCAGCAATTCAGCTTGTAGAGCAAAATTGATCCTATGCAATATCAGCACAAAAAAGAAATTACGATTATCACTCATTTTGTACATTGGAATGTTAGAAAAAGCTTAAACTGATATTACTCAAATAGAAAACAATAATAAACAGCAACTGGTATGAGAACAGCTGATCCATTTATTATTAACCAATGGGTTACGGTAAATTTAAACAGAAGCAAAGTGATTGTAGCAGCATGCTTATATTGGATGAATCAGATGCAGGCGGTTATATTCTAATAATACTTTTTAAGCTGATATCTGACTGATTTTTGCTATCAATATCAGATCTGGACGTCCCTAGTTTATCGTTATTTATTTATAGCGGTTCTTGCCCCACCAGAGTACACCTCTAACATCTAGAAACTGAAGTGCTGTTAATTAGAAACTATATCAAGCTACACTGGTCTAAAATATGATTTAATATATTGAAACAAAATATTTTGGCTTCATTCAGCCTCCAGCTTACATAAATGAGATAATTTAAGACTGAAAGGCAAACAAAGTCTTAGCAGCCAATCTACCTGCCCCCATCCTCTTGTTTGTCCAAGTATTTTTCTGTACTTTCCATAAGTTGGTGTTTGCCTCCTTAATGAGATGAACTCTGCTCCTAACTTCCTGCCTTTGTCCTACCACAATTTCCTGGTGCCATCAGACATTTACCTTCCCACTGCAGCCTGAGCTTACAACTAATATGACTGCAAAATAAAGTATTCCACCAAGACCAGTGCAAGTCTTAAATGCAAAAGGAATTATGTCATTTACAGCTCCCATTTAATATTTTCAACAGCAAAAAACATTTTCTACATCAGTGACAGCTACCATGGAACTAAAAACCGAATTTTATTAATGAGGTTGGTTTCTCTGATATGTGAGTTGGATTTGCTTTCGAAAGCTTGAACGTAAACTGACAAAGCAATGCTAAAGTTACTTAAACATAACTTTTATGAGAGGATTTGTTATTTTACAAATAAAACTGGTCAATTTGGTGCGGTCATGTAACTTCTTGGGAATTTCCATTTCAACTAGAAACTATTTATAAGCTAAAAAATTTTTCATGTTTTTGCAAATGCCTGCAGCTTAGTCAGATTTGATGGAGGGCATATTTTGTTATTAAAATTATATATTTTCAGATCTTGCCACAGACTCTATAGGATTTAAATCAGTGCTTTATCTACCCCATTTAAAGATATGAGATCTTTAATCTAAATCCCTCTTATAAGCTAAAATTGTTTTGCCTCTTCTATTGGCTGATCTTTCTGTATTTAGCTCAGTCTATAGAAACATAGTCCAACTGCATGATGTTTTACAGTAGGCATGGTGTGTTCGATGATATGTACTGTACTGTACAGTGGTAGTTTTGTTTTTTGTTGAGGGAATACTCCATTCTGATCAATATTTGCATAGCTGTGTCCCCTACATGGCTTTTAGCAAGTCCACATAAACTCCTTATTTCTGTCTCTCCTTACTGCCTTCATTTAGACTTAGACAACTTTTGTCATTTTGAATACACAAAGTGTATACAAAATAAGATTTCTTTACATACAGCATTTATGACATTTCCATCTTTTTAAGTGCAGCAGCGATCCAATGTAAACAGTGGGGGAGAAAAAGTTGTACAAAAAATGCATTGATATGGAAGTTCAGAGCATCAATATATATATGGTGAAACTATGCAGTACTTTTGGTTTGCAGTTAACAGTGTGATGCCGAGTCTCAGACATGCCAACAGTTCAGCTGTTTGATGTCAGTGGGGAAGAAACTGTTGCAGAATCTGCTGGCCTGCATCGAATGCTGCAAAGTCTCTTACCAGAGTGAAGCAGGGAGATCGGTCCATGGGGAGCATTTGTTCATAAAGGAGAGATTTATGGAAATGCCAACTAATAGCTTTAGTGTGTGTTTCTGCAACTCTTACAGAGTTTCTCTTGTTTGGTAAATAAAGCTCTGCTGTCCCAGCCTGTCATCATTGGTGGATAGCCATGTTCCTTTAGATTTGTAATTGTGCCAGACCCTTTATGATTTGGAAGATGGACTAAAAAGAGCTCTATGTGATTTTCCAAATAAGGGATTTAAAAAGGTTTTTAAAAACCTTAATAGCCTTCCTGCCTGATTCATGAATTGTGTTTGCGGCCACCGAGTGGTAGATTTATTCAATAACAAACTTCAGTGACTTTGGGCAGGGTTTTAAAAAGAATGAGCCGATAAAGGTTAACTAAAATTTATAAAAAAAAAAAAAAAAAAAAGAATTTAGGAAAAAGAGAAAATGTAGGGCAGTAATGAGCGGCAGAGTCAATGGATAAGTCTGTTTAAGGAAGAATGAACTCTTAGCTGGCCCAAGGGGGGGTTGTGTCTTCTCCAGCACGCAGTCCTGTCCGTCGCCAGCCAGCCAATCCTCCACTGGCATGGGAGAATGAAAGCGCTGATGCGGCCACTTGTACTCCAACACCCATCCGTTCCTCAACGGCGACCAGTTGGATAAATCTCCACAGCAACCTGTCCGTTAGTCCCACCACTCTGCCGCTGCTACA